TGTTTCTGCATTTTCCTTATTCTGTACTATAAATTCTTTTAAAAATAGATTTATCATTTATTCTCTTGGACTTTTGTCTTTTTTCTAATTTCTTTTTGTTACTAGTTTAAATATGTAAGCCACTCTGGAGTGATGTTAAAAGTGATTTAGACTTAGAAATAATTTTCTGAATTTGGTTGTTATTTTCTTGCAATATATAGATACTATAGTAACTGATGACTCAGAAAATTAAGGTTTAACTGTTACAAACTGAATGCTTCTGTTTCCTCCAATGTTCCTGCAAATTCACNTTTGTATGTTGAAGCCCTAACCCCCAGTGTGGTTGTGTATAACGATGGGGGCATCTAAGAAAGTAATTAATGACAAATGGTGTCACAGAGGTGCGGCTTTGATCTAATAAAACTACTGTCTTATAAAAAGAGATTCTGACCCCTCTTTCCCTACTCATGTGTGAATAAAGAAGACATCATGTGAGTACACAGAAAGATGGTAGCTGCCTACAAGTCAAGAGAAGAGGCCTCAGAATAAAACCCACCATTCTGGCACCTTGAGCTGGACTCCACAGCCTCTGGAGTTGAGAGAAATAGATTTCTGTTTTTAAGTTGCCTAGTTTGTATCATTTTGCTATGGCAGCCCAAGCAGATTAATGCAAAGCCTTTTGTTGTCATTGTTGCTTTCTTGCTTAACTATGTGTCATCAATCACACACTTTTCCATCTAGACCTAGCCATATGCTCAACACTTTGGTGGCCATATCAAAATCTTTTGAGAAGTGTTTTCAAAATTTCTCATTTTCCCTCAGGATTCAGACAAGTGAGGTTCTTTTACTGATGAAATGAACCCTGCCTCATTCATATTAACGCTGTAAAAAAGTTGAGATAGTCTTCCCTCATCCAAAACAGCTAGAAATTCAACAAAATTTTCTTAGAGTGTTAACTGTCCCTTTAACTTAGCCTTTTAAGATCCATGAGTTGAGCTTCACTTGCAACAGATACATCTGAGATGCTGTGAAAAATTTAACATTAGTGACCTACACTACCATCAGAACCAGTAGTGCCTTGATAAGGAGAGTAGAATATGAGTTAATGACAAATTCATCAGGACATTATTTCACATCTTAGGCATGTTAAAGCTTAATTCTCATATAGTTAAAGCACTGGGAAATATGTAAATATGTATAAAACTCTACAGAAACTGAGTTTTTATTCCTCTAAACAGTTCATTTTTATAACATTGTGTACCCTTGATCTTTATGTACCTCTGGGCTAGTTTCTCATAATCTGAAAGAAAATATTTTCTCTATTTCAGAGGTGATAATCAGAACTGCTTGAGAAGGAACAATAAATGTTTTGGAAGAATCAACTTTTTATGATTAGTAATATAATTCCCTGAAAGCATCTTTTATTATTTTTGTTTATAATATAATTTTCTGAAAGGTAATAAAAAAGACAAATCTTTAACAAGGCAGTATAGACTACAAAGAAAGCACTGAATATTTTATATATAAAGAAAAACAATACAGTGAAGGCGTGAGCACACATACAAGCAATGTAGATTTATAAATCAAATGACTAAATGCATTTATCTACAGCACAAAACTTTCCTAAACCAAACTTGGAGTATTTTTATATTAGTTAATTTACTAAATAACTACTATATTACTAAATTTTAATTTATCTTATTTTTGTTTACAACACTAGTTTTCAGAATAGTACAAGGTTGTGTTTCTAACCACACAATACAAGAAGGGTGTAGGTTGTTTATACTGTCTTTTAGATGAATCACTTCACACTACTTTTACCAGTATACCTTGCAAGAGCTGCTAATCTGCTTCACATTCTAAAGGCACTGCTCTTATGAATAATGGAGATTTCCTCCATATTTCTGCAGTAGGTTCATTGCTAGTCAAAGTATAGTAGGCTGCACTTTTAAGATATTTTTGGCTCTTTGTAAATACTGTGTGATGTTGAGAGGAGTTGTACTCTCAACCCAAGAGGAGGTTCAGATGGCACTGTGTGATGGAATAGCCATTTCATTCCATATTTCTATTATGAAGTTATTTGTGTCCTAAGGTACTTCGGGTGAACCCTACATCCTCAAAACATCATGTGAAATCAGCACTCATAAATGAGTTTCACCAGAGCTTTCAAATGATCATCATCAGAGTGAGTTCTAGTTATCAAAACTCACCAGTTCTTTGTTGATGTGTCTTTTAACCATTAACTTATGTGTGAGATAATAGTTCTCTAAAATTTGAAATGAAAATGTGTTTTATAAGAAACATAGATCACCTGCAAAAATAATTACTTTTGTATTTGTTAGAATTAGACCTAATTGCAGCCAAATGCACAGTTACAGTGGTTTATATAAAGTAGAGCTTTTAATTTTCTCATGTAACAAAAATTTTGGAAGTAGGCTACCCTGGGTTATTATGGCAGTTCCATTATGCCATCAGACAGACACAGGTGTTTTGTTTTTTTTCTTTCCTCTACATTATTATTTGAATTTTAGGAAGAAAGAATAGGAAGGGCTAGAGGCAATTGGTAAGTATCTGCCCCAGTGATATATTCAGATGATACATGTAGGTACATTTGGAAAAGGCATGTGGTGGGGATGTCCTTGATCTGTAGCGTTTGCTGATTTGCTAATATAAATACACCTATAATAACTTAACTTTTAAGATACCGGCATGAGGTCAGTAAACATGGAATTGTGAAGAGCAAGCCAGTGAACGTTTTACCATAAACTTCTGGATCTGCCCTCTTTTAAGAACTTTCTCGAGAGCCAAACTAAGCAATTGATATTTATATCTGATTTTTCAGAATTGTGTTCATAGCAAACCCTTGCTTCAGAGGAAGCTAGAAAATAATACTGCTCCAAAATCAGAGAAGGGAAGAATAGCTTTTAGGCCAAAAGTGGGTCTGTGATACTTGTCCATGAAAAACAATAAACTAATATTAGAAATATTTCTGAGAAGTAGAGGAAGAGGAAATTCAGAAAAGAGTAAAATAAGTTACTTTTACATAGTAGTATGAGCAGGCAGATAAAAGAGTGCACAGATAAGATGCATAATTGGATGCTGAAACATTTTATAAAAAAGTAATTAAATTTAGTGTGTAAATATATTCCCTGGAGAAGGAAATGCAACCCACTCCAGTATCCTTGCCTGGGAAATTCCATGGAGAGAGAAGCCTGCTGGGCTACAATCCATGGAGTCACAAAAGTGTCAGACTCATCTTAGTGACTAAACAACAAAAACATTAAATATGTAAAGGGATGAATATCAAGTTGCTGAAAATATTCATATCGGTAAAATATTTGGATGATAGAAAAATATTCTCACTGCATAAAATTTCATTATAACTGTATATGTGCTTCTAAGGAAGCATACACAGGAAATCCTTAACATAAATGTATTAATGTTTATAAAATTTAAATTAGTGGCAATGCTAGTAAATGGATTTTATCACTCAAAATTGAATTAGAGCCCATTTGTTATAAAATATTAGGGAAGAAAATGTGTGTATATTCCAAGTACAGAAACATTTGCATATTATTTTCCTTTAGAATTCCAAGAAATGACTTTATGAATAATATTTCTTTGACTCTCTGAGAGTCAAGAAGATTCATAAATTCATTTTTTTCTGGATTATTGCTTTAATCCTTTCTAAAATCTATTCTATTATTCATCCTCTAATGAAAATCTATTGTATGTTAGGCAACAGTAACAAGGCATGTTTTAGTCTATTTGGGAAGATAGCCAATAAAAATCGTTTAAAATATGAACTTCTTACCAATTTCCATCGCAAAGAGCTAAAGGACCGTTTTACGCATCAACTAAACTCTTTTGAGAATCACCGAAATCTTAAAAATTAACTTCTTAGTACAATACAGTGTTAGTCACCCGGTCATGTCTGACTCTTTGCCACCTCATGGACTGTAGCCCAATCAGGCTCCTCTCTCCATGGATTTCTTCAAACAAGAATACTGGGGTGGTTGCCATTCCCCTCTCCCAGGGATCTTCCCAACACAGCGGCTGAATCCAAGTCTCCTGCATTGCAGGCAGAATCTGTACCATCTGAACCACCGGGAAGCCCCATCAGTTAACACAATGGTTAAATAGAGTTTTCCCTCAAGTATAAAATCATAGAAGAAAATGAAGTGCACATTTCTAACTGCGTAATTCCTCCAATGATAACAGATCATTTTCTTTGTTTATCTAAAGCAAGATATATCTATAATAGGTAATTCCAGAACAAAGTTGTAAATGATTATCCTTCTATAGTCTTACCATATTTTTGTCAAATTTCTTTTACCAATTTTGATTGGTTCCAGTTTCTAAAGTGAGATACTATGTTGTTTTAAAATTATAGTCCTGATGTTACAGATGTAACATTCCTGAAATAATAGTAAAAGGTTGAAACTAAATGTTCTAAGAATAAATGAAAGGCTGAGAGGATTGATCGGTGGTATGCTGAAGTCCTTAATTGATAAAAGGCAAAGCAAATTGTCAAACAGTGGCTAGCCCAAGAAAAAGCTTTTCAATAAAGGGAAGAGATGCTGACTCCAGTATGATTTTGAACTCATGCCATACATATGTCTAATTATGCATCTAGTGAAAACTAAATTATTTATGCTAATGGACTCTATGGATAATTTAAAAGAATTTATTACTAAGGCAGTGAAATACATTTTTGTACTTACAAAAGAATATGAAAGACCCATATGTTAGGAATCTCCAATTCATCAAGATATTGAAATGGGCCTTGACAATTATCACTTAAGAGAAGCTAAATGTAGGTATGTGTATAGGTGACTCTTCTGAATTTGCAATTCCTTCATTTTTTTGTAAAAGTGTCTTTTAATCAGACAGTTTTAAAGACTTTTTAGACATTTTATATTTGCGTTTATATTATATATATATGTGTGTGTGTGTGTGTGTGTATAGTTTATATATTCCCCAGCTGAATTGGTCTTTTCCTTTTTTTCCCTTAATTTCAGATGGATAGATATATTTTCATCACTGAAGAGTAAATGGTGCTAAAGTGAGCCGTCCTAAATTCCGTCATGATATTTTCGTTTTGAATGTTTTAAGAGCAAGCTTATTAGAGCTACTACACCTTTCCTGGTAAATAATATGTATTTCAGTAAATTCTTCATTCAGTTAATGAATATTTTTAACTATGTGCTACCTAGTACTAAGAATTTGCTAAGGCTTAGAAAAGTTCTAGAGGAAAATATCTTTGATTTTAAGAAGCTAATTGTTTTTAATAAAGCAGGCATTTTTGCCAACAAATGAAGAATCGCAAGTTCAAAAGGGTCAGCGGAATGTGTGTAGGAGCACCTAAGAAGAGCTCATGGGTGTAGAATAGATACCTTCACTTGGTTTCGGATGTTACAGTGGGCGGAAGAGCAATGCTTTCTTTTTAAATAATGGCAGCAAGAAGATTAGCTATGACAGAATTTTTCAAGTATATTGTCTCAGCATGATTTCCCTAGAAACAGACTCAAAAGAGATAGTTGCATGCTGAATATTTATTGGGGAGGACTTTGAAATACAGTCCTGTGAGGAAGTAAGGAAGACAAGATTGGAAAGAGAGAGAAGCTGACTCTCAATATTATGACAGCTGGAGCTTCAGCTAGTCTTATATGGAGAGCTAGCTGGTCTTGTAAACTCGTCTCCAACTGCATTTTTGCACTGGGCATTGCCACAGGACGCTCCCTAACAGAGCATATGATTTTTCTGAAGCAGTTCCTTGTGACTGGGAGGAATTCCTAGTAAGAGAAGTTGTTGTAATATTCCCAGAGCATAGGGGATGTACACGCTGGCCTTGAAGAGAGGATCTAAGCACCGTGCCTTAGTGTATATCACAGTCTATCTTGTACACTGCTAGATCCACTTACTTCTTGTAAGTTATTCTCAGTAGGCAGAGACCTTCTGCAAAGATTCTGGATAGAACTTTCCTCTGGGTAATTTTAAAAGAAAGCAGTAGACACAGTCACTCCTCTCTCCTCTGATTCCCCAGAGCCACGTATCCATGTGTTCTATCCGTCTATCAAACTGTCTACCTGCCTTTCATCTATATCTCATCCACTTCTTACAATGTATCTTTTTTAGGCTGATGCTTCAGGTCTGCTTTCAAAAAGTTGTTTCATCATCTGTTGGGCTGGCAAACTTTTGGTGATGCAGCATGTGATACTAACCGTGGCTTCCACACTTCCGGATCTATGACCACACCTCCTTTTGCGTATTATAGTTTTCTTGGTCACAGGAGTGGTTGTACAATTCTTTTACTGAGACGCCAAACACTCTGTAAGCACTTCGGCGGTGGTGCTTGTGAATACACTGAAAGCAGAAAAGGGAAGTCCATACTTGGAAAATGTGTCAGTTCTAGTCAAGATGAATCACTGTCTCTTTCAAGATAGAAAAGGATCCTTTTTCATAAACTTGCCAAGAAGGAGCTGGTGTCTTTGAGGGACGGTGCCATATCGGTGGGCTTCCCTGGTGGTTCAGGTGGTAAAGAATCTGCCTGCACGGTGGGAGACCTGAACGGCTAGAGCACTGATCTCTGCTGCGAGAAGGTTGGACATTCAATCGCAGCAATGGTTAGACCAGACTTGCTGAGTAGAGCCCGTATAACTGGTTCTTCACCTATTTTGTTTTGTTTTGTTTTAATTTCTATCAGCACTGTTACTCTATACATAACACTTTTTGCTACATTATGGTTATTGATGACCGGGGCCTGTCAACATTACTTCTGTGTACTTCAACCAAAAAGTGTTGCTGAGTCTAAGCTCATACTGCTTGCTATACAACAGGCCAATAAACCAAAAAAATTAGTTGTTGGGGCAAGTAACTGTGTTTTTATTTGAAAATCCAGCATACAGAGAAGATGGTGGACTAATGTCCTAAAGAATCATCTTCCCTGAGTGAGAGTTTGGGCTTCTTTTATACCAAAAGTGGAAGAGGTAAAAGTCTGCTTCAGCCAGATTCCAGCGAGGATATTAATTTCTTCCTTCCTTCGGAGATTGGCCTGGTCAGGATGTTTCCAGTGGGCTAAACAAATGTATTTTTAACTTCGTGCTCATTACCTGGGAGGCAGGGTTCCCAGAGGTGGGCCGTTACGTATAATTTAGACTTAGAGACAGCATCCCTTTAGTGATTAACTTGTAACAGAACATGAAGTTTCTTTCCTACTGTAGAAAAATCTTTGAAATTGTTTTATTTTCTAAAATATAATACTAAATAAAATTTTGGAAACAGCAAATAGCTCACCCCTATTCTTCAAGATCCCCATTCTCCCAACCTTCTTTTCCATCCTCTAGCCACCAAGGTAAGGATTCTGACTCTCTCCCATCTCTCCCCTTAACAAGCCACAATTAGGCATGGGCAGCAAACAGCAATGTCATGAAACTGTAGAAAATTCTATAGGAATATAGGTTTAGCCTGTGAGCAATGCAGATACCCCTTTAATACAGTAAGGAATTTTGCTAGACTATAATTCTCTACAATTATAATGATGACATTATGTTATTACATACATTTAAATTATTTAACCTATTATATAAATTATTTGTCATGTATTCTAAGTAGTGTGGTACATATAGAAGAAACTTTGCAAATAAGAAATAAAATATTTTCATTTTTAAGTGTCTTAAATTTTTACTCAATTAAAGGGTGCCGTTATCCAATAGTGAAAATAATAGTGAAAATAATCTCTTTCTGCTGTCTACAGAAATGTGTTTTTTCATAATTAATGCAAAATGCGTAAAAGAATACCTAACCATGTATTGCATGTTAATGAAATAACATAAATATATTTAAAATGTAAAACATTGTCGTTCAGCAAGAAACATAAATTTAGAGTAGCTATGTAGCATTATATTAAGTTAGATAAAAATGAGTCTCTATGCATATTAGTCACTGATATTTAGTTACTTATGATGTGAAAGTGAAAGTAAAAGTCGTTCAGTCCTGTCAGACTATTTTTGACCCCACAGACTATACAGTCCGTGGATTTCTCCAGGTTAGAATACTGGAGTGGGTAACCTTCTCCTTCTCCAGGGGATCTTCCCAACCCAGGGATCGAACCCAGGTCTCTTGCATTGCAGGCAGATTCTTTACCAGATGAGCCACAAGAGAATATGCAGAGTTCAAATCAGACTGCAAAGAAAGACCCAGGGACCTTCCTGCTTCCAGAAGAAAGGTGTGAGGGGCATAGATTGAATGTGTGAGTGTGCTAAGTCGCTTCAGTCGGGTCTGGCTCTGTGACCCTGTGGACTGTAGCCCGCCAGGCTCCCCTGTTCTTGAGATGCTTCAGGCAGGAGTATTGGAGTGGGTTGCCATGCCCTCCTCCAGGTACTCTTCCGACCCAGGGATCAAATCTGAGTCTCATGTCTCCTGAGTTGGAGAAGCCTGGGAAGCCTGGGAAGCCCATAGGTTGTAAACCCTTCACTACTATTCTGACATCAAACTCTTCAAAATCAAAGATTTCAATAGTTGAAATAGGTGAATAAGAAAATACTGAAAAAGGCAATGGGAAACTTTGGACTCACTACATGATTTACATGAAAAAGACGTTTCAAATACCAAAGATTGGATTATTGTAATTTTTCTCCCTTTGAAATCTATTTCTACCGTGTTACAGAAGAATGCTAATAAGGCAAAAAATAAATAAACAAGTAAAGAATTTCTGTGAAATTGACAAAACAGGTATTTATTTGACTGTTTTCTTTCAGAACCATTGGAGCCATTTTCTCCTTATTCTTTAGTGAGTCTTTTCTACCCTTTCTTTCAATGTTTAATTATTCACCACATAATCTAAGCAAAGTTTACACAAATATAATTTTAATACAGTAAAACTCTGTAATAGTTATTGAAAATTTCCACTATTAAAAGTCCTTATAACTAATTCTTAGTAATTATTATGTAACTACCATGTAAAATAAATTAATGACATTTCTGTTATATGTAAAGAAATTGAGATTCTGGAAAAATAAGCAAACTTTAAATTCTTGCACCAAGAATATATGTTACTGAGCAAAATCGAAAATTGTTTCCAACTTTGTATTGGCTTGACTTTTGGAAAATTTCTATGAAGGAATGGTTTAATGAAAAGAAGATATCATCTGTCATCACATAAACTTTGGGTTGAATCTTGTCTCCAATAATTCCTAGGTGAATAAATTTGCTAAATTTCTACAACACTTTAGAACATTTTTTTCTGAAGTAATCAAATAATACTATAATAGCAATGTCGGCCATGCATTCTGTTTTGACAACTCAATGAATCTGTGTCTGATCCTTAGCACAGTGCATTCCAAACACCAGATGCACACGGGGGCTATTGTCATCAAACCACGGCTCGGTTCTGAAATCCAGAAGTAGAGATGTAATCAAGACTAGGCATGAATAGCAGCTTTATCAAGTGTGAGCTCAAAAGATGTGAGTGTTATTAGCTATTCAAATTTTTATTTATACAATATCTATAGTACACTACATATGTACCATACAGTATGTATACTATACTTAAATATTGTGTGTTATAGTGTATGTGTCTGCATACATTAAGCAGCTTGTTATTTAGTATATGTGCACACACACACACTCACACACACACTACTTTACATACATAATATATATGCATATGGACTTTTCTGGTTACTCAGATGGTAAAGAATCTGCCTGCAATGCAGGAGACCTGGCTCAATCCCTGGGTGGGGAAGATTCCCTATAGAAGGGAACGGCTGCCCACTCCAGTATTCTTGCCTGGGGAATTCCGTGGACAGTGGAGCCTGGCAGGCTACAGTCCATGGGGTCACAACAAGTTAGGCATGTCTGAGTGACTTTCACACACACGCATATGCATATATTTTTATTTAGTGTGTATGTAGTATGTTCACTAAACGACTGCATATCCACTTAGTCTGGCTTCCCTGGTAACTCAGCTGGTAAAGAATCCACCTGCAGTTCAGGAGACCCAGGTTCACTTAGTGGGCCAGGAAGATCCCCTGGAGAAGGGAGAGGCTGTCCACTCCAGTATTCTTGGCCTTCCCTGGTAACTCAGCTGGTAAAGAATCCACCTGCAATTCAGGAGACCCAGGTTCACTTAGTGGGTCAGGAAGATC